AAAAAGAAAGAAAGAAACGCGAAGCTAAACAAATAAAAAAAAAGAAAAAGAAAACGAAAATCCCTAAACTAAAACCTGGAAATAATATATTTTTTTAATCTATCTAAACTAACTGTAAAAATATCAATTTCAGCGCAAAACTGATCAGTTCTTCTACACATAGAAATAATCGGTGATTGTGCATAATGGCGCGTCGAGGCCGTAGGTAAATAAAATAACTTAGGAGCCCTACAATTCAAACGGGGCACTAAGAAATTTACAAATTCCAGTAAGTACCCATCAGAAATTTTACCTTGTATAAGTTTAATGAGAAAAATAACCTCAGACAATATCCTACGATCATGCAGTGACTGGTATAAAAATTCATCCAACAGATTTTGATAAGCATATCCATGTTCCAGAAAAGTTTTATGTTTTCTATAATACAGGGTTTTTAAGAATTTACGTTGTACAGCTTCAATCATATGTATATATTTATCATAATACGGATTCCAGACACAAGAACAATATTCTAATTTGCTTCGAATGAAAGCATTAAAAAATCTAACAAGCACCCTATTGTCAAAATCCCTAGTATTTCTAAAAAGAAAACCCAATAATTTATAACACTGTAAACACAATATTTCAATATGAGCATTAAAGGTCAGTTTGCTATCAAAGGTGATACCTAGATCCTTGAATGTAGTACAACGCTTAAGAATCTGACCATCAATATTATAATCATTGATAATTGGAGTATTTTTCCTAGTATATGTCATCACCGTGCACTTGTCTTTATTCAGTTGGAGGCGGTTGAGGGTACACCATTGAAATAAGCGCTGCAGATCAGACTGCAATGTCTCACAGTCTGAGACAGTTTTTATGACATGATATAGCTTTGAATCATCTGCGTAGAATAAGTATTCTGATAGGAAGCATTTCATAATATCATCAATGAAAAGTAGGAACAGCAACGGACCAAGTACTGAACCCTGAGGAACACCACTTTTGCTTTGAAATAACCGAGATTTGATGCCCTGATATTCCACATAATTCACACGACCTGTCAGATAACTACGAAGAATTTGTATTATAGCATCAGATAATCCAAAGTGATGCAACTTTTGCAAAAGTAACGAATGTTGAACCATGTCAAAAGCTTTAGAAAAATCACAATAAACTGCGTCAACTTGCATTCTATTTTCCAACACACACGAAACAAAGGTAGTAAAGGAACAAAGATTTGTAACAGTTGACTTTCCTTTGAGAAAACCATGTTGTTTTGGCGACAACTGATGACTAACATGAGGATAGATTGATTTGTAAATTAAAATTTCGAAGACTTTGGCAAAATTGCAAATGAGAGATATCGGTCGATAATTTTTTATCTCATTTTTATTTCCAGATTTAAAAACCGGCGTAATACGTGATTGTTTCCAACAATCGGGAAAAACTTCGTGACGAATTATTAAATTATAAATATGTAATAATGGTTGACAAAGAACATTTCTACAGTCCCTAACTAAAAACGCTGGTATTGAGTCAGGTCCCATAACACAACTGTCTTTTAGACGACCGACAGCCTCTAGAATTTCATACTCGTCAAAGTTTTTTATAATGCAGGTGTCATTTACACAGTATTTGTCAAATTCGCAGTTGTTCCCCAAGTCATTCTGATACACAGATTCAAATTGTGTCGCAAAACCATTATTAATATCAGCAGGAGTATTAAGCAATTCATTATTTACACCTATCATACAACCTGGAATGCGTGTTTGCCCCTTAAGTTTATGAATAAATGACCACAATTTGCCAGGATCTTCTTCAATGCAATGAGATATGGATGCAATGTATGTATCATAATCATTATTTAGAATAGTTTTAACTAATTTTCTATAGTATTTAAATTTTCCAACAAAAATATCAACTCTATGCCTACGTGACATTTTCAAGTAATGTTTTTTAATTCTGATTAATCGCTTAGTCTTAGATGACACCCATACAGGAAACGAGGATTTTTTCGGAAAATATAACGGAACGGTACAGTCTAAATGGGAAAAGAGTAAATTATAGAATGTTTCACAAGCCATATTAACCTCATCATGTATCAATACTGGTTCCCAGTTCGTATTTAGAATAAGATTATACAATTTATTGAAATCAGCCGCCTTAAAATTATATGTCCGTGATGCAGCATTCTTAAAATTCACATGGATGTAAGTGTGATAACTAATATCAAACACAATGGCCGGATGATGAACATCTTCTTGAACCAATGCAATATCAGAGCGATTTAACTTAGCGGAGATATTTTGTGAACAGAGAACTAAATCTAATGACCTATTATTAATATTTTTTACACCATTAATTTGGATAGCATTAACAGAGTTTATAAAATTATTAAGACTTCTGGCTTTTGAACAAGTTACATCGTCAATACAACGCACATTAAAATCACCAGCAAAAAGAAAACTGTCATCAAACAACTCAGCCATTTCCAACTTATGAAGAAAATGGTCATATACAAAAGATGGCGTCGATGGTGGAACATAAACAACGCCAACAGAGATGGATTTAAAATTCAATTGCAGCTTTAAAATTACAAAATCAATTTTATATTCACGAAGCAGATTGTCATTATCAAATTTAATTGAACTACAATTAAATTCAGATTTAACAGCTATAATAACTCCACCACCAATACCATTACAACGATCAAATCTGAAAACATCATATGCAGATGGAAATAATTCAGAACTCAACAGATCATCAGCAGCCCAGGTTTCAGTAAGCAAGATTACATCAAAATCATCACATGCAAGAACATTTTTATAAAATACAGAAGTCTTTGTTTTTAAACCACGAACATTTTGGTAATAGAATTTAACATAACTTAATTCTAACTGTTGATCTGATGTTAGTTTTTTGTATTTACAATTTTAGGTACACCATTACTATAGTTCAAGAAAATACTTTCACCTTTTGCTTTTCTATCCTTATATTCAGCCATGATCTTTTTTTTAACAGAAAGCTGACGAACGGTTAAGTCCTTACTGATGAATATTTTATTATTGCCAGGAAAATTTTTTAAGTTTTTAACTTTACTCAAAATCATAGCAACATCTCCTGAAGAGTTCATTGTAACTTTTAAGGGTCTATTTCTATGTTCAACTTTATTTTTACCTAATCTATATACTTCCAAAATATGATCACTTATATCAAGACTCAAATGCCTAAAAATGTCATGAATTTTATTGAAATCATCAGTTTCAGATTCTGATTCATTTAGATTAAATACAACAAGGCTTTTTTCTTTACGTTTAAGCTCATTAACCTCACTAATAACATCTTCCATAGTAAGTACTTCAGCATTGGTGTTCTTAACATTGAGAGAAACTTCTGTTTTTTTTAAAGAGTCTTGAAGTGTTTTAACATCAGATTGTAAAGAGTGTACACTGTTTTCAATGAGTAAGACTCTGTCATTAATTTGCTGAAATTTATCATTGATAATTTGTGATAATTCATGTGTTAGATCAACTTTTAGTTTAATAAACTGTTGCTCAATCAATCTCTCAATTGACGAAAAAGTTAACGAGCCGTCAGGTACAGGTAAAGATGTAAAACAACTATGACAGGTCCATTCTGGACAAGAAGCAAGGGAATTAATGTCTAAACCAGTACATTTGGAATGGCAGTACTTTTTACACTTAGCACATCTAATCGATGGGGTAGAAGGCGTAATTGCGGAATTGCATATATTACAATAATAATTAACCATAGTGAGGTAGAAAAAATGATTTACGTAAAAAAAATAGAAAAACTATAATAACAGCAGAGTAACGAACTGACAGGGACACTTATCTTCACACCTATAGGGTCGTTTATGGTGGCTGACAAACTTGACAAACAAGGGTAGACCACGGAAAAGAACAATTGGGAAACAATAGGTAATTGGTAGTTAGAATTTAATTGACATCAAAAAGAAAGGAACGAAAAAACTTACTGATAAAACGAGTTTATCTATCAGCCAATAATCGGTAATTAATGAAAGCAGAAAATCTCGGTAACCACATGAGCCAGCTCCACCAAACTTCCCATAAAACTCAAATGCACTCACTACTCACTGCACACCAAAATTCAAAATTTTTTATCAAAAATAACCCACGAAAATTAAAGTTATAGTAGGAAATGTATCGTTCAGACTTCGCACTCTCACCTCAGCGAGTCGTTAATACATAGTCATGTTCGAGTTTGTTAACATTATTTCTAGACTTTCTGAGACGTTCCGACGTTTATTGTTAACTCTGTTTCGGCTCGTTCTGTTCGCTCCATTCAAAACAGCCACTGTTTGCCTTGCTGTCTTTATAAAGTAGCGTCACGATTCCTCGAACCCCGCATCAATAATACCTCCCCGTCAATTCGTAACGTGAAACAGAATCGTTATCACAATGCATTTAAAATTCGCTTTGGTGCGACTTCAAAGGCCCGAAATCCGAGCCCCGAGTCTGTCAGTCTTAATAAAAGCAGGAGAAGGCTTCCAAGAGCCGCTTGTTTATTTTGCCACCGTTCCAATCCATTTTAACTAATTGGCCGCGTAAATCACTGCCGTCTTTGACGGTTTGAGCTGTATCTACACAAGCGAAATCCTCGGTAATCATTTAGCATATCTCTACGAAATTAGACCTCAATATAGCGCAAATTGAGAGGGTGTCTTAGGCCTGTTCGATTAATTGCGACGCAGTTTCTGGATATGTCGACGCAAAACGGTGAGTGATACAATTAAAATAAAATTATGTCGCGGGATGAATCGATAAATTTCGGTGTCTTTGCCGGAGGAATTCCAATTAAAGGGAGGATAATAGAGTGGCGAGGGGTGACAGGATATTTACTCGAGAAGTCGAAAGTTTTCATAATGAGATGAAATAAAGTGTCGGAGTTTTTATGGTCTTGTCAGACACAAACAAACTTAGCTTCGTTTTAATCAACGCGTACATTTTTTTAATTATTTGTTGTTGTTCCAGCTGGACGGGCGCATCCACTTCGGCAAATCCCTGATGACTGGCGGCGGCGTGGCTCGAAACATCTGCGAGTCACTTTCGAAATTAGGCTGCCGCCACGTGTTTATATCGGTGATCGGGAACGACCCCCAAGGGAACATTCTGAAAAATTTCATCCCGCAGGATAACCTGGAGCGGGTGAAGGTGCTGGAGGACCGCAACACGGGCCAGTGCACGGTCGTGTTGGACCGCAACGGCGAGTGCAAATTCCTGGCCGGCGACATGGAAATCCACCAACATATCACGCCGGAAATGGTATACAGAACGTCTCGCTCGTCCCGCGCTCTTTCCCCCAGTTAAATTAAGCCCGTTGGCTTTTTTGCGGGCCGGGGGGTCGTCGTCGCCGTTAATTAAACGGAGACTGTGTACAATAATGTGTTTGCGTCTAGGAGACGAGGGTTCTTACGGCTGGTAGTTGGGTTTTTGCGAGAAGGGGAATTTGGAAGAAAGTCGGGGGCGGCGGGAGCGGTTTGCTTAATGAGTGTTGTCTTTGTTGGAGGTGCTTGGGGCAGTTTTTGTAGTGGGAGGAAGGGGTGCTTAGCAGTATCATTAGCGTGTTTATTATGGTGAGTAACTTGAATCGCTTCTGGCGATCCAGGAGAAATATATGACGACAAGTGGGGCGGTTTTGGGGAATTTGGTTTGAGGCGATCGCAGAGCTTCAAATTAGATTCAGGGTTTTGAAAAAAAAACACTAACTATTCCATTCCTATAACTGGTGCTCTATTTTCGGATAAATTTAAAGGAATCTGGTGTTTTCTTGTTGGATGAACTTGAAAAAACCTTTAGAACTTTTAGTGTTTTACTTTTTATGAATCTGAAAAAGACTTGAGTACCACAGTGTTTTGGTGTATTATTTTGGGAGACTTTGGTGCTCTATTTTTGGAAAATTATGACCTGACCTGTTTTTGAGTTAATTTTGGGACCCAATTTTTTTTTTATTTAAAACAATCTTGAAGTTAGTGTTATTTCTTACAGGATACGTCATTTGCCAAAATCAGTCTTATCTTAGCAGCTATTAGCCCCGCCCACCCACCCTTTATTTTCTTAGAAGAGTAGGTCATCTGCCAAAATCAATCTTATCTTGGCAAGTATGAGACTGATTTTCGCAGATGACATATCCTCTAAGAAAATAAGGGTGGGTGGGCGGGGCTAGTATTTGTCAAGATGAGACTGATTTTGGCAAATGACATATCCTCTAAGAAAATAAGGGTGGGTGGGCGGGGCTAGTACTTGTCATGATAAGACTGATTTTGGCAGATGACTTATTCTTCTAAGAAAATAAAGGCTGGGTGGGTGAGGCTAGTACTTGCTAAAAATAAAAAAACTAAAAAATCAAAAAATAACAAATTGAAAAATTGGATAAATGAGAAATCGGAAAATTGTACAACTGTTTAATCGGAAAATCAAAAACTGAAATATCGCAAAAATTGAAAAAAAAAAACGAATCATACAAAATCGAATTCAAAATTCCAGTTCTCATTTTTTTTAGTTTTTAGATTTTTTAAGTTTTAAATGTTTCATTTCATAATAATTTGTTCGACAATTTTGGAATTTTTTGATTTTTAATTTTTCAAGTTCTCAAGTTAAAATTTTTCTTTTCACGATTTGTCATTTTTCGATTTTTTAACTAAGATTAATTTTGGCCAATAATAATCTACTCTTCTAAGAAAAGATACTAGCCCCGCCCACCCACCCCTTGTTGTCTTAGAAGAGTAGGTCATCTGCCAAAATCAATCTTATCTTGGCAAGTATGAGACTGATTTTGCAGATGACATATCCTCTAAGAAAATAAGGGTGGGTGTACTTGTCAGGATAAGACTGATTTTGGCAGATGACTTATTCTTCTAAGAAAATAAAGGCTGGACTTGCTAAAAATAAAAAAAACTTAAAAATCAAAAAATGACAAATTGAAAAATTGGATAAATGAGAAATCGGAAAATTGTACAACTGTTTAATCGGAAAACCAAAAACTGAAATATCGAAAAATTGAAAAAAAAACAAATCACACAAAATCGAATTCAAAATTCCAGTTTTCATTTTTTTTAAGTTTTTAGATTTTTCAAGTTTTGAATGTTTCATTTGATAATAATTTGGTCGACAATTTTGGAATTTTTTGATTTTAAATTTTTCAAGTTCTCAAGTTAAAATTTTTCCTTTTCACGATTTGTCATTTTTCGATTTTTTAACTAAGATTCATTTTGGCCAATAATCTACTCTTCTAAGAAAAGATACTAGCCCCGCCCACCCACCCCTTGTTGTCTTAGAAAGTAGGTCATCTGCCAAAATCAATCTTATCTTGGCAAGTATGAGACTGATTTTTGCAGATGACATATCCTCTAAGAAAATAAGGGTGGGTGGGCGGGGCTAGTACTTGTCAGGATAAGACTGATTTTGGCAAATGACATGTCCTCTAACCAAAAAGAGGGTGGGTGGGCGGGGGACTAGTACTTGCCAATATAAGACTGACTTTGGCAGATGACTTATTCTTCTAAGAAAATAAAGGCTGGACTTGCTAACAATAAAAAAAACTTAAAAATCAAAAAATGACAAATTGAAAAATTGGATAAATGAGAAATCGGAAAATTGTACAACTGTTTAATCGGAAAACCAAAAACTGAAATATCGAAAAATTGAAAAAAAAAACAAATCACACAAAATCGAATTCAAAATTCCAGTTTTCATTCTTTTTTTAGTTTTTAGATTTTTCATCTTTTGAATATTTCATTTGATAATTTGTTTGACAATTTTGCAGTTTTTAATTCCAATCTTTTAATTTTTCAAGATTTAACTTTAGAATTTTGAAATTTTTTGATTTTTAATTTTTCAGGTTCTCAAGTGAAAATTTTTCCGTTTCACGATTTGTCATTTTTCGATTTTTTAACTAAAAGAACAAATTTATTCGAACCGAAATTTTGTAAAATCGAAAAATTCAAAAACTGAAAATTAGAAACAAAATTTTCAGATGTTTTAAAATTACGGTAAACATGGCAATCGTTGATCAAAATTACTTTTTACTCCCGTCCAAAAACTCGGTGTCAGACAATCAAAAATCGAAAATTTTAAAAAATAAGTAACATCTATTTTCTCGATATTTTTAAAAATCAAATAATTGAGAAATCGGAAAACTGCCAAAATTGTAAATGACCTGACCTGACCTGACCTGACCTGTTTTTGAGTTAATTTTGGGACCCAGTTTTTTTTTTGAAAATTTAAAACATTCCTGTTTGGAAAGAATTTGAAAGTGTTTTGAGTCTCTAGTGTTTTCTCTTATAATAATTTAATTAAATTTCTTACAGGATACGTCATTTGCCAAAATCAGTTTTATCTTGGCAGGTACTAGCCCCGCCCACCCGCCCTCTCTTTTTTTAGAGAGTATCTCATTTGCCAAAATTAGTCTTATCTTGGCAGCTACTAGTCCCGCCCACCCACCCTTTATGTTCTTGGAAGTGCAGACCATCTGCCAAAATCAATCTTATCTTGGCAAGTACGAGACTGATTTTTGCAAATGACATATCCTCTAAGAAAATAAGGGCGGGTGGGCGAGGCTAGTACTTGTCAAGATGAGGCTGATTTTGGCAAATCACATATCCTCTAACAAAAAAGAGGGTGGGTGGGCGGGAGGCTAGTACTTGCCAAGATAAGACTGATTTTGGCAGATGACTTACTCTTCTAAGAAAATAAAGGCTGGGTGGGTGGGCTAGTACTTGCTAAAAATAAAAAAAACTTAAAAATCAAAAAATGGCTAATTAAAAAATTGGATAAATGAGAAAAGGGAAAATTGTACAACTGTTTAATCGGAAAATGAAAAACTGAAATATCGAAAAATTGAAAAAAAACAAATCTTATAAAATTGAATTCAAAATTCCAGTTTTCATTTTATTTTTTTTTTAGTTTTTAGATTTTTCAACTTTTGAATATTTCATTTGATAATTTGTTTGACAATTTTGCAGTTTTTAACTCCAATCTTTTGATTTTTCGAGTTTTAGCTTTATAATTCTGGAATTTTTTGATTTTCAATTTTTTCAAGTTCTCAAGATAAAATTTTTCCTTTTCACGATTTGTCATTTTTCGATTTTTTAACTAAATGACTCATTTTGGCCAATAATCTACGCTTTTAAGAAAAGATACTAGCCCCGCCCACCCACCCCTTATTGTCTTAGAAGAGTAGGTCATCTGCCAAAATCAGTCTTATCTTGGCAAGTATGAGACTGATTTTTACAGATGACATATCCTCTAAGAAAATAAGGGTGGGTGGGCGGGGGGCTAGTGCTTGCCAAGATAAGACTGATTTTGGCAGATGACTTACTCTTCTAAGAAAATAAAGGCTGGATGGGTGGGGCTAATACTTGCTAAAAATAAAAAAAAACTTAAAAATAAAAAAATGACTAATTGAAAAATTGAATAAATGAGAAATCGAAAAATTGTACAACTGTCTAATCGGAAAATCAAAAACTGAAATATCGAAAAATTGAAAAAAAAACAAATCTTATAAAATCGAATTCAATATTCCAGTCTTAATTTTTTGTTTGTTTTTACATTTTTCAACTTTTGAATATTTCATTAGATAATTTGTTTGACAATTATGCAGTTTTTAATTCCAATCTTTTGATTTTTCAAGTTTTAACTTAACAATTTTGGAATTTTCAGATTTTTAATTTTTCAAGTTCTCGAGTTAAAATTTTTCCTTTTCACGATTTGTCATTTTTCGATTTTTTAAAAGGAATAAATTTATTCGAACCGAAATTTTGAAAAATGGAAAAATCCAAAAATTGAAAATTAGAAACAAAATTTTGAGATGTTCAAAGTTACGGTAAACACGGCAATCGCTGATTAAAATTACTTTTTACTCCCTTTCAAAAACTGGGTGACAAAAAATTAAAAATCGAAAATTTAAAAAATAAACATCTATTTTCTCGATATTTTTAAAAATCAAATAATTGAGAAATCGGAAAACTCCGAAAACTGCCAAAATTGTAAATGACCTTACCTGACCTGATCTGACCTGACCTGACCTGTTTTTGAGTTAATTTTGGGACCCAGTTTTTTTTTTGAAAATTTAAAACAAACTTTAAGTTCCTGTTTGGAAAGAATTTGAAAGTGTTTTGAGCTTCTAGTGTTTTTCCTTATAATAATGTAATTAAATTTCTCACAGGATACGTCATTTGCCAAAATCAGTCTTATCTTAGCAGGTACTAGCCCCGCCCACCCACCCTCTCTTTTCTTAGAGAGTATCTCATTTGCCAAAATTAGTC